CATTGAATGGCTTCAGGCTGCAACGTCATGCGAATTAAACAAATGAGGAGTGAATTAGTGAAGTTACACTACCCATCAGATAGAGCGGGTTTCATTCCAAGTAAAGGTGGTGATTAACCTGGGCCATTTGCTTCCGAATTTAAAACCAGTCCTGAAAGTAATCTCGCCTTCACACACAATATCCCACGTGGGCAGGTCAGTGTATCAACCCTTGCTGGCCTGGTTGATTTAATAATCTGGCTTGGTCTCTGGTCTTTTGTCCTCTCTGCTCTTTCATTCACGTTCCCCTGTGAAGTTATAATGCAAGGCTTGTTGTTGGCTTCTAACCTGCCAATTCAATGTGTCCAGAGCCTCCAAAGCAATGCTGCGATTCTGCAAATGATGATTTGCTGGGATGGGATTTGCATTTTCCCCCTTTTCAATGACAAGATTAGCAGCTGTTATTAACAGTGCAGCTAAATTCCTGAACCTATCACACAGCTGCAGTTGCAATTACTTTTCAGGCTGTAGGCACTCAGAGCAAAAAGGAAAAAAAAAATAAACCCCATAATGATTTTGTGAAGAGGTGACAGTGGCATCCTGATTGACAGCAAAGCATAGCTCTGGGGTGTGTTAATTAAAGCGGTGTGATAAGAATCACTTTCATTACCTACCTTTCTCCTCCATACAGAACCGTGAGCCCTGAACTGAAATCCTATGCTTTGGGGGTGCTCTTCCTGCTTCTCCGTCTGCTAGGTAGGTGCAATCATTTCTTTTCCCTTCCCCTCTGTACTTAAAAGTGAACTGAATGTTTATTTGCCCATCAAGGGGTAAGTATTTACCAGCTCCATCCATGCAACCCTTTTGGAGGCTGAAACCCTGTCAGAGGCTGTCACTCAGTGGAACTGGAGACCCGAGACCTTTCTCAGACATGCTCTTTCGATACAGAAGGTCCTCCAAGGGGAATGGCACCTGCCTTCCCTGCCACTTTGATTGTGCTAATGGAGGAAATCACAGCATTGAGTGAGAAACAACCCCTCACCCCCCACAACCAGTTCCTTCTCCGTAGTTGTTATTAACATGTCAGCTGCTTGTGAAATTACTCCTTTATTGTGCTGCCGAACCACGGGGGATAAATGCTTTCATGATAATTTGAGGAGAGGAGCTTTGTAGCACATTGTGCAGCAGCCCTGTCTTTGGACTCTGAGGGAGGAAAACAGAAGGGGGCTAAAAACCCCGGCTGAACCTTTATGCTGTCTCCTGGCTTAATCTCCCATTAAAATACATTTGGCCAAACACTGGATCAGTGCATGTTTCCTCATAGCTGAATTAAAGGGAAAATGCTATGCCTCTGCCTGCAGTTTTTTCCCTCCCACACATGTTGAAAGGGATGACTGTTGGGGAGAGGTCATAAAGGCAAGGCTTGAATTTCTCAAAGTCTTGCCTCGGACCACATTAGATGACTTTGTCCAATCCATCACGTATGGACCTGTCTCACTCATACGTTTTGCACTTATTCTGCGTGTGAAATTTCTGCTCAGCTCAGTCGGCCAGACTGTGCCCCAGACCCGAAGGCCCAAAGGACGACCCTCTGAGCAAGTTACAGTCCAGCTGGTCTGTATGTGAAAACCTGGGTAGAGGCATAGGAACCAGACCCAGTGGCTGCATCTAGATGAGACGCTGGCTGCTCAGTAGCTCATTTTTACTGCGCAGTAGCATCACGTGGCATGAAGCATGATGAGTGACAGGCTACTGCAGTCAGTGTCACCAAAGAGCCATTCAGGGATGCTAGTACTACGCAGTAATGCCGGTTACTGAGCGGTCAGCGTTTCGTGCAGAAACAGCCAGTTTGAGTTCCACAAAGGGTACGTGCGATGGAGTTTAATGTGTGTGCATCCTAACCAGTTTGGTTGTGGGAGGAAGAAGATTGTAATCCATGTGATGTCAGGTGGAAATCCCACAGTTCTCACATGGCATCCCAGGACTTGGCCACTTGTTTCTTCCCTGTTAGCTAATGATTTGCTTGCTTGGTCCATTGGCCTTCTCCAGGGCTGCCTGTTTTCTTTCATAGGAAGGGGTGAAGAATCCCACAGTCTGATATGCCACCTTGGATAAGAAAAGGAATAGCATTTTCCTCCCTAGCTAGTGAGACTTCTGACCAGGGGAACCCAGCCTAACTTCTGTTGAAGTCCCTGGGAACCTTTCATTACTGGTGAAAGGCCTGAAATATGCTGGTTTATCAAAAGCACAACACCTTCCTCCATGATCAGGAAAGCAGAGGACATGCCACAAGCTCTAGACATCTCATCTAAATGCTTGGGGAGTCAATAGGAGTCTCCCAGTTGACCCACATGGGCTTTGCTCAGTCCCTTTAAACACAGTATTTCCTTTGGCTGGTTCATGTCGTGTCCTCGGCTCTCACAAGTTGAATTCAGAAATCTCACTCAGGGCGTAGCAGGTAAGGCAGGGAAGAAGACGCTTTTTGATTGTAACTTCCTAACGTCAAGGTGTTTGCCAGGTAAGCCAGTGAAGAAGATGCTTTTTGATTGTACTTTCCTAACATCAAAGTGTTTGCAGTTTTTGCTACCAACTTTGTATTATTAAACATACACAATGGGTTTTGGGCTGCTTCCATATATTATTCCATCAGGGCTAGGATCTGCCACCCATACTCACCTTGAACAATGGCTTACCATACCAGCAGTCCCATGGGCACGGCAGCAGTGATTTTACAGTGAAACATCAGTACACCACTCTATCCCAGCAGATTTCTTATGGAGTAAGATGATATATTCTGGAGGATCTCAACACTTGTAGATATTGTGCATGGATAATGAAGAGAAAGGTACTGCTCAAATCTCAGTGTGAGTAAGGGTATCCAAATCTTGCCCTGAACAATTTGAGGTTTGAGACTAGCTTGATTGATTGATTTTAAAAGCTTTTCAGTTTACCTTTAAGCTTAGACTTAAGAAGGGAGTGATAATAGCTGCTTCTTGAACCAAAGAGAGTATTAAATATCTGAGGAATGAGACCCGGAGGTGCAATCTGAGTTAATAGATTTCAGAGGCAGCTTCTTTAAACAGCCCTGCAGTTTCTGTACTAAAATGTGTGTGTGTGTGTGTGTGTGTGTGTGTATATATATATACACACACACACACACAAAGAGCAGCGCTCTCTGCAACATTTTTGCAATAAGAAGTAAAGCATAATTGAATCTCTTTAATGTTCACTGTAACAATATGAAACACAGCTGAATTCTCCTGGTATCCTCTTGGATGTATTATCTTATTCCATAGGAATTCTTCTGTGAGAGAGCAGCATATTAATGTTGTGGTATAAAAGTGTTACTGCAGTCTCTTAGAAGAGCATCGAAAGCGATGCCATTGGAGCCCCAAGGGTATTGAAAAGCAGCAGCTACTGTGTAAGAGGCTCTGAAATGGAGATTTTTTTTCCCTAATAACATCTCTTGCCTTCATGTATGGGTATAGTTGAAAGGACCTGAGCTAGGAGCTTGGATGAAAGCAGTCCCTTATAGTTGGGGAGGTTGCGAAACCAGCTCAGGCCCATCTTTAGCAAATATGCCCAATACCTCCATCCTGATTATCTGAGCAAATGGCAACATCGACTGTGCCTGTCTGGAGTGGCAAACAGGTGGAAGTATGCCCATAAGATCCTGAACATGTTTCCATATTTTCCTTGCAGTTTGTCCCAGTGAAGTATCCAGTTCACAGTGGTGCTTCTGCACTTCTTATTTTAAATCCAGCTCATGTGTTTTGCTCAGTGTGATATACCAACGGCTTGTCCTTGGATATGACATTGGGGCCTACAGAGGCAACTGCTATAGACCTCCTTGCAGTGTCAAGTCTATGCTATGTTGTAGATGTCCAACCCTTTTACTTGTGGGAATAGGCCTGAAGAAGTGACCAATGCCAGCTTGTTGCTAGGGCTGAAAATCTTTCACTGCTGTCTTCCTTAGAGCTCTCTGTGTAGTCACAGCTCTCCCCCTTACCCATCTGGAACCCATTAAACACATCCCTCTCCCCTCTTGTGAGAACCCCAGAAAATGTACTGCTTCAGTGGGAAAGCATCATTTGGACTGTCAGTGATAACACTTGGGAGAGCACAGATATTGCTCCAGGGTGCCTGACCAGGCTCCCCTTGAAGTCCAGGAGAGTTATCCATTGAGTGCTAAGCCCACTGAGCTCTATGGGTGTTGGACTGGTGTCTTTGTGCACCCCAAGGGGAATACTGCAATCTGTACAATCGGGGATAAAGCAGCTCACCTCATCCCCAAACCAGCTTGATTTTCAAAGAACCTAGAATGCCAAGTAAAGTCGATGGGGATGTGAATACTCCACACCTCTGTGAGTCAGCTGGCATTTGTCTCTGAACCATAGCCTTGCCCTTTTAACCCCAATAAGCTTCTGAAAGAAGATGGGACTCAACTCTCAGGTTCAGATCCTGACCAAGATTACCCCCAAGCTCCCTGTGTGTGCAGATCACAGCTTCTCGTTCAGACCATATCTGGGTTTTACCACTAGCAGAGCGCTGGGAGTGCCACAGTGAGAGCCCCGCTGGATTTTCAAGCCCCAAGTTGAGTTTGCAGTTGTCTGCAATTCCTTTCTTTAAAAAAAAAAATTAAAAGAATGGAAAATCAGTTTTTACCTTGTAAACAAGCCCAACTTAATCTGGAAAGAAACAAAAAGCAGGGAGCTATGTGCTGTTGTGCTTCAGAGCGTATCCACACTTCATGTTTGATGTATAAAACTAGTACATTTAATGAAGGAAATCTCTTCCCTTAGCATCATCTGTTTTTATTTGCTGTGTTCCTGATATTAATGACTGGTAAGATACTGAAAGCTTACATAGCCATGCCCATCTCCTGCATGTATTAGCCTATGAAAAAGATCAGACAAATTCTGCAGAGTTCTAGTCATTACCAGAGCAAAATAAAGAGGTTTCACTTCCCAGAGGCAAAGGACAAGGCAAGCAAATTATTTGTCATCCTGGCATATCTTGTCATACAGCAAAGAAGTGACATTCGTGACGAACTAAAGAAAGGCATCTCAATTTAAGCCAAGAGCTCCATGGTAAATGATGAAACTTGATCTCTAATTCATTGTCACTCTGCCCTAGATACTGCAGCCCATGTCTCTCTCCCTGCATATCTAGTCACTACAGTATCTAGGAACTGGGTGTTCTTGGGCAAAGCCCCATTTAAGAGGTGATTTCAGCCAACCTTAAATTTGCCCTGCAGTTGTATTTATGCACTTTGGGCATTTATAGACATGCCTGCACACTTTAATTAGAGCGGCTCCAAGAGCTGCTGTAATTAAAGTTCCCAGGGTGTCACATGTATCAGCGTGTGGGGTGGGAGCATGTTAACTAAAGGGGCGAGGGTGGGGGCATTTTAACTAAAGCATGTTGAACGAGCTTTAGTTAAAGTGCCCCCGTCTCCATTTTTCAGCATGGGGACACTGATACACATGACGCAGGAGTCTGCTGGAGCACGATAATTACCACACTCCAGCAGACTTGATTAATCGAGTCTGCTCTGACATGTTATAATTACCTTGCTGCACATGTATAGCCACCCAAACCCTGCCCTAACCCCTAGCAGTGGTACTTTTTGATCGGTATTAGATATGTGTTGTTTTCCATCTTGGAGATGGATGAAGTGTTCCTTACTGTACGCAGCATCCTGGGGCTACTTCTTCTCCTGCACAAGTAGGTAGGAATTTGATTTCCCTCCCAGCCCCAACACAAAACTATGCTGATTCTTCAGTGTTCACGGTTTAGGTGTGCAAGGACCAATTTATACCCCCAGTGGTTAGGGGTTAGGTGTCCTGTCAAGGTGCCTCTCATTCGTAAAAAGTTTGTGGATCTTTTCAGGATTAAAGATCTCTTGCTGCTGATGCAAGTTTGGAGTCCCCTAAAATGTCCAGGTGTAAAGGAAGAAACTGAAGACCTCATTGCTTCTGTTGGTTGTATGAGATCTAATGGTTTGCTTTTGTTTAAGATTGTGGCAGTGGTGTAAGCTACAGTCAGAAATTGTCAATTGATGGTTACCTGCAGTGAAGGAGAAAGTCCTCTTGGTTACCTGCAGTAAAGGAGTAAGATATGGTACTTTATGGGATAATGATAATGATGGAGTTACTTTCCTTCAAGTCCATAGCACTTATAAGGAAGATAGTCTCTTCCTTATATCCAGGATCAGGACCACCCCCCTGCCCCCTCCCCAAATCAGGGGAGAATTCAAATCTGGATCTGAACATTGCATTGCAAGGAGCTCTGACAAACCTCTCACTGTGAATGCTGTGAAATATGGAGAAGTCTGTATCTAGACTCAGAGCTCTGCTTTAGGCCTTTAACTCTTCTTCCTCTTCAATAAACCATGTCATTGACCTTCCCAGGAAAACAGCAGCTTGGAAGTATAATACAAAACACTTAAAATGAATTGGGACATTTGTGATATAGATAGGCAACCTTTCTCTAATGGTTGAGTCCAGGAAGTCACGTGCGGTGATGGGTCCAGGTAAGGTTAGTTTGTTTAGGAATTTAGGAACCAGTCAGAGCCAAAGGTCTGTCTTTGTCCATGAGCCTTAATAAAGGATCCCAGTTTCCATCACTACCTCCAAGACATCTTTATTATGAGCAGCATGACACCATTAAATGTCTCTTTTATCTTAACAGGTTTTATCCCACCTCCCTTGATCTTTGGGGCTGGAATTGACTCAACATGTCTGTTCTGGAGCACATTTTGTGGCGAGCAAGGAGCTTGTGCACTGTATGACAACGTTGTCTATAGATACCTGTATGTTAGCATTGCGATAGCGCTGAAATCTTTCGCATTCATCTTATATACAACCACCTGGCAGTGCTTGAGGAAAAACTATAAGCGATACATCAAGAACCACGAAGGTGGGCTTAGCACTAGTGAGTTCTTTGCCTCTACTCTCACCCTAGACAATCTGGGGCGGGACTCTGTGCCCCCAAACCAGTCACATAGGACAAAATTTATCTATAATCTTGAAGATCACGAATGGTGTGAAAATATGGAGTCTGTTTTATAGTGACTAAGGATGGATGAACTCTATATTAATAATATAAGGGTCCTTTTTATTAAAAAAAGAGAGGAAAAATAAAAATAAAAAAACCCACAGGAAACTTTTTGTCCTTTTCTCAAAATCAGACCTAGGTGAGATTCAGAATATCGAAATCTTTGAATGGGATCATCTTTGAAATCCTGCAGGAGTGATGGAGAAAACATAAACCCATGATGGCTGGGTACCAGCCCCTTCAATGATGGTATGATCTTCCAGGATGGGAACAGCTGCAAGGGCATCAGTAGCTGCAAATCCACTGTTTCATTGGAGAGCTTGGTGGATGGACCTTCTTGGGCATACGACTAGAAGAAGCAAGCGAACAATGGCAATTCCAAGATAAGCATTTGTGACACTGCATGCTGTTCAGGATATATGCAGCCCTGTCACCTTTGCAATATGGGCTAAAGGCTTAGCCAGTCTGGGTGCTGTTCAAACCTAGTGCACTCTCTCAGCAATGTCAAAGAGGGAACAGTGCTGGAGTTAATCAACTATTTACACTCTGTCACCAGCCATGATTCCATATTAGATACCTTGAATGCTGCTGGAAACACTCCCGCCAGCTTACACCTGGTGGGCAAAGGTCTCAGTGCCCTTCCAGCAGTGGCCAACTCATGGGTCTCAGATTTTGGTCCTCTGTGAATGGCTGGGCTCAGATCTATGAAACCCAGTGTAAAGGTCAAGTCATTTGCTTACACTTGCCAAAAGCTCTGTCATTTTTAGAAGGGGATGCATTCCAGATATTTTGTCTGTGTAATCCTCTGATGAGAGTTTTTTTAAACTATTTTCAAATCTATGTTAACCCTTAAATCACTGACGGTTTTCTATAAGGGGAATTTATACCGATTGCATTATTTTCCTGTTTCTTTTTCAGTACACCAAAAATATAAATTTATTCAAGGTTTTCAGTTATCCCACTGCATTTCTTTCATGCCTTCATTCTGGTGCACAGTAATACCATTGAGGACATACAGTGTATTATAAATGAGAAAGAGAGGGAATGCACTGTGTCTGTATAAAAATAACTACTAGTTGGAGACTTCTAGGACAACACAAAGATTTACATAATAATTTTTTCATAATACATGTGACTCAGTGAATATACATATGGAGAGACCCTTTGTTTATGCTCTCTCCAGTTTTTAAAGGTCTGTATATATGATATGCAATTTAGAACTTGAAGGGGTGGGAGCGTTCTTTAATGTTAAAGAGAGCGAGTGAGTACATGTGTGTGTATGAGTGGGGAGGAGGTGGGAGAGAACATCTCCATCCCAATCTGCAACTCTTATTTACAATTTTTATTTGCATGAGGGGTCCCTTTGATTTCAATGGAGCAGCTTGTGTGAGTAAAGGTTGCAGAATCTGGCCTCCTCTGGGCCAGATTTTGCCCTTAGATTTGCATACAGGGTTCCTGTGAAAGGGTGATATTTTAAAATATGATCAGATGTGGCCAACATTGAGTACTCTTTAAAATCCCACCTAGATGTTTTGGGAGTTGCTAGCACAGACCTGGCAGGAGAATTGGCTTATATGTGTGTGTGTGTGTATATATATATACACACACACACACACACACACACACACATATATATGTATGTATGTATATATATATATATATGTGTGTGTGTATATATACACACACACACAGAATCTATATGTATTTTAATTAGGCTCTTGTGCAATGCCCACTGACCTCAAAGGCAGTCTTTCCACTGACTGCAGTGGGCATTGGATCAAGCTGTTTATGGCATGGTCTCTTTTTGTTTGGGACATTCCTACTGTTAAGCAATACAATGTGGCTACATTTAATGCATTTTCCCCAACTACGAACTGAAATGAGCCACCTTTCCAATGTCAGAAGCATTTTAAGGGTTAGCATTGTTCATGAAACCAGTTTTGGTTTGATTTTGGTTTTTTTGTCTGTCTTTTTGAGGCTGTTGTAAGCCTGAAAACAAAGAAGTTACCTGGCACGTCCAACTCAACACTGGCTATAGCTTTCCTGCAGTTCAAAGAGTGGCTGATTTTCCCTGAGTCTTGTGCATTGCTGGCAATGGACACATCAAACACTGCACAATGAAACAGTAAGGTTAAACTGCCAGTTGTGCTCAGTACCTTTTCAGCAGACCTTGCTCTAATCTAGGCAGTTAAGAGCTGGGAGTAAAAGACTTCTTCCAGTTGACTAACTTTACATGTGCGTTTGTAATTTATGCACAGCATTAAATGATGTTCAGCAACAATAAGGGCAAAGACAAAAAAAGAAAAACACCCAGTCTATCAAATAAACTCCACTGTGCCAAATACTTGACAAATATTGTAACTGTAGATGTTTGATCCTTGGCTTGGAGCCATGTACAGAATCACTTGATAAAGGGAGGAGTTAACAAAATGGAGCATTATACAGCTATGCAGTGCCATTGTTATCTGTTGGGTGGTAAATGATGCTTTTTAAACCACAATATTTAGATCAGTTTAGTATATCCTGTCTGGTAAAATAGAAATACTGCATCCATAAGACAATGAATTAAACAAAGGGGTCGGCTGCATAACTGTCTCATAAAATATGTGTAATTGTCAAGTATAAGCCTTTGAAATAATTCTGTACAGTTTTCCTCTTTTTGAAAATTCATTGCTTATAGATTGCTCTCTTTTCAAATGTTAGCTCATAATTTTATACTCTATACACACACACAGACTCAAATGTCACGGAGAATAATGTTTCTCGAAGCCTAATTGCTTGAAATTCTATAAACCCTTTTTCAGTTTGCGTTTTTTTTGTTTTCCTCTGAAAGTGTGGGGGGAATGAAAATAATATCCTCGCATGACGCAACAAACTGAAAAGAGTTGTAGGGCTGTGGTTTGTCAGTACGTAATCTGATGTAAAATCAAAACACTCCCTCTTCCCGGAGTTACAGAAAACAGCATTCCAAAGCATGAAGTGGCACTTCATTTGCTTTTATTTTATTTTGATGTCATTTTAATTTATTCTGGTTTTTTGCATTTACGCAGCCTGCCTGGGTGGATTTTATTATTTTGAGGCTGCTTCTAAAAATCTGGCATGTTTAGTTTTTTCTGTTTCTTTTTTTTTTTTTTTTTGACAAGGCTGTGGTTTGAAAAACAGGAGCATTAGGAAGCCTCCGTTCCCAACATTGTCAAGGGTGTCAGTGCACTTGGGGGAAAGCATAGGAAAAGAGGGGGGTGTTTAAAGCAAAACTTGCAAGCTAGAAACTCAGAGCAGTGTCATTGCAGATCTCAGAGTCCCCGACCCTGTTTGCTTGTTGCTTACCTTTAATTCTCGAGTAGCAGTCCCGAAACATTTTCTTTCAGAACCTCACTTGCAGGACTAGCATTTCATTAAACCCCATAAACCAGTAAGTTTGTGTGCTCACAGGTAACAGAGGTTTGGGATTTAACCACAACCCCAGCTGCTCCTTGTGAATGTCCCCATTCCCACTCTTAGCCCACAATGTGCACATCTACAAATGCAATTAATTCAAAGCAACTCACTCCGGCATGTATCATGCTGGAATTTATTGCTCCCAGGTGCTGTGTTTGAATGTGAGCCTGGGACTGCAACACATTGAGCCAGGTCGCCCTGGCTGGCAAGGGGTCCGGGGAGTCAAGCTGCTCCGACCCAGCTCAACGTGCTGCAGGGGGGCTGGCTGGGGCATGAGGGTGCTCCAGTGCAGGGCTAGCCCGCAGGCAGCCCCCGTGCTGAAACACCCTCATGCCCGAGCCAGCTCTGTCAGCATCTCCAGGTGTGTTGCTGCACATTAAATAACACCACTGCAGGACAGTACTTGTATTTACAAGTACTATCCTACAGCGGTGTTCATTAGTTTACTACGCTCTAATAGGGCCACACATGTAGATGCAGAGACTTTACCCCAGAGCTAATTAGTCAGCTCGTGTAGATGCACCCAGAAAGAGAGAGCTAAACTGAGGTAGTTTACCCCTGATTGAAACAGGGCCAAGCTGCCATAGTTTTGCTTTCACTTACTGGGGAGAAATTGTGAGCATATAGGGACAGTTACCGCAGAGCAGCTGAGATGCACTAACTCCTTAAGCCTAGTTGCAGGCTTAGAGGAATTAGGAAGTCTATGGAGCACACATCCCCATTCATAGGGGCCAGGATCCCACCTGGGGTTATGACCCCTTGTTTGCAGACCACTGTTGTAAAGCAGAGGGGATCCTCTCAACACCCCTTCCCTCCAGTGGATTGCTACCTTGCTTTTATAGACATTTCACTTCTAATTCCAAGAATGGCTTAACGTTACTAGGGAAGAAAGGACAAGGATGGATGGGGAAAGATATCCCACGTGGCAGGAGAAAAGCAGAGGCAAGCCCCAAGCCAGGTCAGACTTCCTCCCAATTCAGGGCTTTCACTGAAACTTATCTCAGCAAAAATGTGATTCGGGATCTTCCCCAACTGCTGGGTGGTGACAGTTTTTGAGCAGCACAGTGACAGTCTTCCAAGCGGGGTGCTCACCTCCTGGGGTGGTTTGCAGCAGTCCAGAGGACTTCTGAGAAATGCTTTGTCCAGTTTAGGACTGGATTCCTGATTTCGTCCCACTCACGGCTGTAACTCAGAGGCAGCCCCAGTGAAATCACAGGGACCTCCAATACCAAGTGAGTGCAAGTGAGAGCAGAGTGCAGTCCTTTAGTAGTTTGCCCTTTGGTCTCTTTAAACCAGAGATGTCATACTCACCCCAGGCTCCAGGCTGGATCTGATCCGTGGGGTCCATAGCGGGCAAGATCTGCAAGCCCAATGGAGGTAACCATAGCAGTGCTGGCAGTGAGGCAAGCAGGCAGCGGCCCAGGTGCCCACTTCCCATGGCAGATGGTGCAAGCCCTGGTAGACAAAGCAGCCACAGGGCAAGCAGGGCCATGTCAGCACAGCCCTCGCTTGCCACCCCTACCACTGAAGCCATGTCCATCAGGACACTAGGGGCCCAGGTTTTGTAGCAGCATCTGCCCACTGCTAGCCATACCTCCAAATTTTGTGTCCCATCAGCAGCCTGGCAGGCCACTTGGGGTGACTTCACAGGCTGGATCTAGCCCATGGGTTAGACATTTGACACTCCTGCTTTAAAGTAGGGATGGCCAGCCTGCAGCCTGCATGCCACAAGCGGCTTGGACAGCCTCTGTGTGGCACGTGGTAGATAGAGAAGTCACACCTCCAAGTTTCTGCCCCAGGTACTTGTGCATCTCAGCAGAGCAAAGAATATTCTGGGGAAAGCAACATATTTCCATTGAAATTCCTTCCAAGCCTAGCGTCTTTCTCATATGCTGGTAGTGATAGGTATTTTAACGTCACTGAATTATCTAGCCAACCCCTCCCCAGTTCTTCCCTGTTCAAAGAAAAGGGCTGTTCACTGTTGTCCGGGAAGCCACAGTCTCCCAAGTCATCACACATTGGCTGCCAGTTCTGCCATTATTTGTCTGACTTGAGTAGGAACCTGACAGCCAGGAGAAGTCACGGTATGCTTTAAAAAAAATGAAACCAATGGAGGGTTTGAGGAGTAGATATGGAAATTGAGTTGTTGTAGAGTCTCTAAGTAGCTTGGGCCTGTAAAAGAAACTTCCTTTAATAAATTGAGGAGAAAATTCCCTATACACGCACCCCTTCCACCCCCCACCCCGAATCCGTTTCATTCTCAATTATTTTCATTGACCGAAGGAACATCGAAGCTCGGGCATTTCACCCCCACCTCTGCTTTCTTCCCAGGGTAAGTAGGGTCCAGGAAGAGACAGCAAGCTCAATTTAGCAATCAGCAATGTCGTTCCAGGACAGACCCAGAAGCAGCCTCAGGGCTACTAACACAGCAAGCGGTGAAATTCTAGCAGGAGACAGATTCTGTTGCTGCTGCCACTGCTGCTGCTAGAAAATATTTCTCACAGCTGGGTCTGCTGGGCTTCTTATTTCCTATTGAGTCAGATGGTCTAGGTGTGCAGTTTGCTTTCTCAAGTGGAATGGGAATCGGTGTTTAAGGCTCTTGTGCAAATACCTCTTAGGACTGATGTAAAATCCCTTTTGTTCTCCTATTTAGAGAGGTCTCCAGACAAACTCCCATTCTGACTTTAAAACCAGCTATGCTTTTATAACCATCTCTAATTTTCTGACAGCCATCTCTCTAGACAAAAGGCTTCCAACACGTGCACCCCGCTTCTTCCTCTCGCTCAGTCATGTGTGCAAAGTTCACACTGTTTTTTTATCATAGGGCCCTTTAAAAGCCCTTCCTGAGAATCCCAAATGCTTTTGATTTGAACGAGGGGGAAGTAGCAGGGATCTGTGAATTTATTCCATTATTCCACACTTGTCTCACGACCCACTCTTCCATCGGCCCCTGGGCTCCAGTTCTGGTTTCCTTGTGACCAGACAGCATCAGTCCCCTACTGTATCCGCTTACTAAGACAAAGCCAAAATGCAGTTCCTAAAGTGTGCAGGTGTTAGGAAGAGAAGAAAAGTGACTGTTCTTTGTGTATTAGCTTGGGCTAATTGTATGGTGAGTCAGGCGGACTCAAGAAGAGAGGAAATAACCATAGGTGAAAGGACAATATAGATTCTCAAAGGGCTTTCAGGGAAAGAAGAATCGGTTGTCATTGATATTCGACTGGATATGGGCACCTATCTTAGCCCCTTTTCCAAACCTCGGCCTCTTGGCATCTCCAGCTGCCCACCTGACTCTGTTCTCCTATCCCAATTTTCCACAAATATTTTTTGTAATGTCCTGTTTGGGTCTCTTTATCTAATTGTGGGCAATGCCTTCTCTCCCACCCCTCCCTCTAATAACATCAAAAGCACCAGTTAGTCATAACAAGCCAGTAATATTTAAAGACAGCAGCACTGCCATTGAAAATTCCTCAGAGATGGGAGCATCTCATTTAGTTTAGTTCCATCAGCTATGCTGAAAACATGATGCCTTTTTTTTTCTGCTCTTACTACATTTGTTACTCCCTGTAAGCAGCAAATGACATATTTTTTTTCTCTCCTTCTGCGGAGGTTTCCAGCAAATATAAATCTTAATTCAATTGCTTCACTAGAAAATATTCCCAAGACAGGCTTTAGTCATTGGGAGTAGTATTCTTTGAATAGTGTTACTTCATAAAATCCTTGGCTCTGGTCTTGTTTCCTGAGTTTAAAAGAGCAGGAGGAGGCTATGTGAATGACAGGCTAAATACCAACATCTTTTGCTTACAATGAGTAAAAAGACACGTGGCTTTCTTTGCCTTTGATCCCATTACCAGGTCTAAGCCGTGGGTGCTGTACTCATGGGGTGGACAGAGTGGATATTAGATCAGGGACCTTTCTGCATGGATCTTATCCTGAGATTGGGACCTTCGTGTGTATGTAGGGTAAATACTTTTTTGCTTCTTGAAATGGGTTCCAAACTCGTTTGCTTGCTGGAATGGATTGATTTCAAGGATCCAATGTATTTCATAGCCTTTAGAGGGCTGTGCTAGCTCTCTTTTGCTTTTCCACTTTTAATTACAAAGGAAAGAGCAAACTGGATGCTTATCTTGCTGGGATCCTATGACCCCAGCTGACTTCCTGCCCTTTGGGCAGGGGGCTGGACTTGATGATCTTCCGAGGTCCCTTCCAGTCCTAATGTCTATGAAATCTATGAAAAGGGAACATTATGAAGAAAAAATGCTGGTTGTCAAGTGGGCTAGAGCAGAGCACAGCTGGAATGTGAAGACTCCCTATGGGAAGAAAAATATGAACTTTATCCCAACAATGGCTAGTGCTGGGCTGTTGTGCACAAAGTAGGCATCCCTGGCAGATGGCAATTAGCAATAAGAACCAGGCCAGAAAGAGCTGGGCAAATGATTTATGATGCATTATTGGGCGAGTTTCCCCTTTTCTTCTCTTTGTGAGTTGTTTACCAGGAGTTTAAGGTTTCCCCAATTTATTTGCCAAGTAATTTCTGCGCGTAACCTTTAGCCTGGTGATTGTTTTTGAACAAATCCCTGAAAATAGTCAACATTCAGCCTGGGTTGGTTAGTTTGGATTGCACATATGGCATATTTCTGATGACTCTAATTTTACAACAATCAAGTTAGAAGCACAGATCATGAATAGTAGGTCATGTCCTCACCTGGGGTAAATCACTGTGGCCCCACGGAGCTATGTCTGTTTATGCAAATTGATTAGCTGTCACTAAAATTCCCTCTCCAGGAACAGTCTGGTAGTTGCTTAAAATGCTTCATTTCTGCAAACATTCCTGCCAGCAGGTACCTCACCCATTAGGAAAAAAACAAAGAGAAAATACAGAAGGGGTATGAGTACTTAGAAGGCAAATTAGTATGGGAAGTTAAGCATTGATGGAGATTGTTTTGCATTGGTTTGTACAGCTCTCATATCAGAACTGCAACGTCTATTGAATCACAGAAGTGGGAATTATACAAGACCTAATATATTATAGCCCATCTTCCTAACCATATTGGCAACAAAGGGCACCTTTTCTCAGCACATTCATTTTTACCCATCAAAAGAATTACCCTGCCCTAAGTATTGCCTCGCACACCTGCTGGGGCATTTACCTTTACGGCAGCCCACACGAGTGTTATATTTTTCGTGCCTCACAGTTTCAGTAGTCTGAACTCCAGTGAAGATCTAAGCCTTTGACTCATTCCTGTCATACCTGAATGCTCTAAGACACCTTGTGGGCTTCTTGATGTTTCCACCTGCTGCATAGCCATATTGCATCTTAGTCCCAAGCATGTCCTATCATCCGTACCTAGCAAGTATCTAGCCTAGATCAGAGCTCAGCGGGAAAGTAATGCTACCTTGTCTCAGTGGCCCTGGGACAAGGTAGCATTTAAAGGAAAAACAATCTCTTCTTTCTCTTTGGTGCAATGTCCAAACACTTGGGGAGGGTGGGGGAGAGCTGTGAACTTTTTAAACCCATAGTGCCTACCACTGAAAATGGAACGCTGTATTGTATTATATTATACGTGATTACCATGTAAATAAAGTACAATAAGTGTGGTGTTTGTAAGGTTTTTGATACAAGTTTAATGCAATCCACAACATTTCTTCCACTGCTATATAGGCTGGAAATACCTGCCAGACCTGGGAATATCTATGGTTGTGTGTGCTAGAAATGCATAAAAAGCATTCAATGAGAAAATACTGCATTTGGGTTTGATTTTTTTAAAACTGTTTTGCTGTATATGTGAAATACAAACACTACCTGAATTTCTACCAGGCAGGAGGGATGTAACCAATTTGCTACAAAGGAGAGCAGCTCTTGAAAGTTGGTTGTGGGTAGAACAAATAGTACTTCCCAGGCAGCCCCATTCACATAATGGGAGAAAATGATGTTATAGTGTGTCTGATTTCTCTTTGATTCTCTTCTTTCTGCTGCGGTTGAAGGGGAGATATGTCACACCTGTGTGCCCTCATTATTCTCAGTCCCTGAAATCCTCTAGGAATAGCTCCAGCTGACTCAGAGCTTTATGGTATGAGCAGACAGGAAACACACTTTCCTGGTCCAGATTCAGCCAGCCGGTACCTCTGAGGCTCTGGAATTTCTTTCAGATTTTTATGTAGGAACTCTACCCTCTACCTAGTCCCCTCCTCCTCTTTTACTCCATGGTGCGCTGAGGGGAACCCAAGTACTAGCATGTTGAGATGCAAAAGCTATGCCTCACTAATAAGCATGTTTGCCCATCTTTGCACCCTCCAAATCCTGAGATCTCTCACTTGAAAACATCTTGCCATTCGTTGCAAGTTCAAGACTTCTCCGGCAAATGTTTGGTGCCACTGTTCAAAGGAATGAGCCCATCCTTGGGTAAGGGTATGAAGTCTTCATGCAGATTTCCCCATCAAAGCCCATGAGACACTTCCATGTAGGTCATCCTATTAAGCGTCTCATCTAGATTCCCTATGTCCAGCACATTTCCCCATAGCTATGCTGTCCATGCCAGACTGGCCAATGGAGTTTGTTCTGGTCACAAAAATAAGTCAGCCTTCTGTCTAGATCATTTCCACTTAGAAACCTATGTATATGCCACCCTTGTATACGAGTGTGCAAGAACCTCCCCACCTGGGACACTCCCACTTCTATTTCTGAGAGCTGAAGTCACAAGCAACCCGCAGCGTCTTGCCATGGACCCCGAGTCAAAATGCCCCTGCTCCTGCCTTGAGCTGCATGTTGCTAATCCTTTCCTGTTGTGCTCAACAAGAAGGGTTCCTCCAAAAGTCCTTTGAAACTTGCTGTCTTGACTGGCTATGGTTCTGAAGGCTTTTAGCAGCACTTCCAAAATAAATCAAAGCCTGGTTTGGAAACGAAAATGTCTCACTGTACAACTGATTAAAGAAAAGAAAAGAACAAGAAACCACATGCTCGATATATTTTGAGTACTGCATTCAGTATTTTTGCAGCTTATATTTTCCAGATGAGCAGTTTAGAAATATGTGATGTGAAATACATACTGTAAGTTTGCTGTAAATGATATTAAAAGCACTATTTTCATTCTTCTTCTGCCTCCCTGGATGATCTCTTGATACTCCTTTTCTTTGTCTGGCTCCATTATTACTGTCTCTCTCCCAGATTGCTCGCAGGCCAAGCAGTGGGGGAAGAGTCTAAAGTCTTGGATGTTTAAGGGCAGGAGTAGAAGTCAAGTCTCCTCAACCCAGAGGAGGACCTTCAGGTGGGGAGGAGGTGTTATATCTTGGAGGGTCTTGGGGGTGGATTTCTTTTGAGGAGGTTGGTGCATAGCTGTGTTGGAAGGACAATGAGAGGACTGGATAAAGCAACTGGCTTTTCAGGAGTAAAATCCAAAGCATGGCCTGGATACTCCACAGACCTCTGGAATTGGCAGTAGTAGGCTATAGCCACTTTGTGTGGGGCTGCAGAAGGTCTAGTTAGCTCTACAGTGCATATGAAAACAGCGGTGCTTTTTCTGGTTGAAGAAGTAACCCACAGCTACCTCCCACACCTGGAGCAGCATACCAAGATCACATCCCCATCGCGCCCAGCAGCACTGTGCAATGCCTGCTGAAACAGCAAGAAACTTGCAGTCTGGGAATATTTGCAGGGGGAGTCAGCTAATGAAGAACCAATCTTCTAAAGATCAGTTCTTTGGGGCACCAGACATGCAGCCCCACAATTCAGGACTGCTCTAGAAAATGGTTGGTTACTTGGGTTAGAGCAAAGGCCTGGGGAAGGAGGGCAGCAGGGGTCTAGTAAAATGACTTGCAAAGAGTGGGAAGAGATTGGAGACCAGTGGAAGTTTTCAGGGGGAGAGAATGGGATCCTATTATAGGATGACAAGGAGGCTTACAGGGTGTGGGAGGTGGGAAGGGAATGGGGGACAGGATGCCAGCTAGAATAACCGTGTTGCAAGCTCAGTAACTAAACTATTTCAGTTATTTACCCTTTTGCTTGCATCAGTTCAGCTCATGAGAAGCAAAGCCCTCTCGCTAAGAGCAAATCAAAGGGATAATGTGGGGTGAGCCCTACAAAGCATCCAGGGAGCGTCACACCAGCACCCGCGGCTGCTCTCCTGTGGATTTTGCTGCAGTGTTCCCCATGTCATCTCCACCGTGCAGAGGAGGAGGGTAAGTTTGGCCTCTGGGGTTGAGGCTAATGGGATCCAAGAGGTTTTTGTCGCTGTGGTTGCAAATCTTTGCTTATTTGTGTTGGTTGAGGTGATCATTTCCCTCCTTGTTAGACAGTTCAGGAGCTGTTTCACAGAAGCAAGCAGGACTTGGTTCCTGGGGAATGATATGAGGAGAGCTGCCCCCGTCCAACTAGAGCCACCAAACGAATGGTCGCATTGAAGGCTGGACAAAACCCTCTTCACTGTATTCTGATGAAAAATATCCATCTCCATTCAGTATAAATGTTGTGGAAAACTTCAGTCTCTTCGTGTTGACACCATGCAAAATTGTCCTTTCCATTCAAGCCAAATAGAATTGACTTTAAAAAAAAACAACATGTTTTGTTTTACGTCCTTTGTTTTGTCTGATCCTCCGCCTGCACGGAGAAGGCGAGGGGAAGCACAATAGTGAAAACCCGAAGACACAGCACCGTGATTTCTCTCCCATTTGATTTGAATCAAAACATTTTTGCTTTGAATAAATTAATCAAACAACTGAAACAGTGGAGGGCGGAGGGGAGGGGGATGTTGAAAAAAACTAGAAAGCATTTCTTCAAATATTCCCTTAGAAAAAAAAACACCCTCTTTTCTTTAACCTGACCTCGGAATTACCCATGATTCAAGCTGGCTACCACACTAAGGCAACAGCCTGAGCTTGTTTGTAAGGTGCTCCCCAATACTTCGGTGCCTGCAGAAGGCCAGGTCCACAGCTCTGCTTCCTAGGACCAAAAGCAACCTTTCCGTGCCTGCAGTACTCCTGTATCGCCATACTGGGGTGCCGGTTCCACACTTAGCACGGCATCTGCTCGTTTTAGATCGCTGGCACCCTGTCCTGGCCATCCTAGCCTCTGCATCATGCTGTTTTCTCTACCACAGAGCTTGCTTAATTGAGCATTAACCAGAATGTGTTCTGTTTTGGATGCAGATTATTAACCTTTATGTCATCGAGAAGACATTATACCAGGTAAAGTTAATGTTTTGAGACCAGAAGGTTAATGGGTCAGCTCGTGGCCCTACCTCATTAGCGGCCGCGTGCCGTATGTGGGTGTGCTGTGATACTCATTTGAATCAAAAAAGTCAGATTAGTCATATTAGCAGCCTACGACATACTAAAGTTGGTCTCCCTCTCTAACTTACCCTCCCTGATGCATTTCTGTGCTGCCCTCCCCAGCCTGTTGACATGCTCCAACTACTGTTTGTATCCTTGGGGTCCCCTCACTTTCCTGGCATCTTTTTGCGGGAGGTCCCGGAGTCTTTTCTGGGTTGAAGCTGGCTGGAGTACTTCAGACGTCTACGGAGAGAGCCTCACAATGCTTTCTGGGATATCTCCAACCTGAGGTGGTCCCAAAACTCAAGGGCTGTGAATTCAGCAACAAGCCGAAGCAGAAACTCTGGGATCCGTACAGAACTTGACAGTTTTTCTTCAATTTAATTAATTGCTATGGAGGAGAAGAGCTGGGTGAATGCCATGACATGTTTGCTAGGAATATTCATTGCGACATTAAAAAAAATGGGTTTCACCGATGTACTTGGTGCTCTTATGTTTGCCTCTGGTGCATGGTATGAGTTTTTGGGGTGGGACATTACTGCACGTAACAAATGGTGTGTCCATACTGAAGAATATTTACAGAAACAAATAATGAAATCATGAGCATCTGCAAAGGAAACCTGATCCTAAGTGTTCTGCTCAACCAATTAAAGAAGAAAAACCTACCATGTTATCTACATCTCTAGTCAAAACTAATCATGTCAGATGAAATTTCAGGTATCAGCTACTCACAGTCAATTCCAAAAGGATATTGAGCAAAGGGAATGAGAAGTAGGGGCATATGGGGACAGGATCTGGGAGGGAATAGGGAGTCCAGGGGGCCCAACCTTCTCTGGGACACTGTAACAGCCAAAGAAGGGAGCTGACCTTAACAACTCATCCTGAGTCCTCTCTAAGTCTTCCCTTTGGGAAGACGCTTGGGAGCACGTCGCAAGCGTTGCTCTGTACCACTCAACACAAGGATGCGAGTCTGACATTTGGCTTAAGCTACAGCAGCTTCTCGTTTCAGTCTTTGAATGTCCCTAGCTTATTTTCCAGTATGTTGGCCACGATGGCACCCATCGTATTTTTGCTTTGAGAGTTCAGCCTGTGCTCAATGGTGCCCATGCAATGCAAGCATGATCAATGCAAGTCATAATTGGGTACTTTACTGTCAAACTCTGAAAATTTAAAAAGCACACCAGTGTTTTGGGATATGCAGACACAAAGGGTGATTGTGAAAAGAATGAAAATTCTGCTTGAGGTGGGAAGTGAGAACAAGAGGAGCCTGGATTTTGAACCATGATTGGAAAAGTAGGTCAAAGACCTCAAAGTTCCTCTGAGAAGCACACAGCGAAGGACTCAACCTGAGCCATTTTCTGAACTTGTAGCACTTTACAGTCCATTGCTATTCTTAGATATTCCTATTGATCAGCGGAGCTGTGAATAAGGAAAGCAGAGTATGATAGGTAGCAAATGGGACTAAGAAACCTTCTCCAGAGCGATCATAGGAGTCTGATTCTCCCTTCGCCTGCTCTGCAGAAAGCCTGAAGCAGTCCCACTGAAGTCACTGACACCACACTGGTGTCAGTGAAAGAAGGGTTTGACTCTCTACTTCTTTCATGCTCTGAATGAGCAACTTTTGCTTCCTTGCCCTTTGCTCTGGTTTTGTCTCCACCTCCTCCAGTGTAACACAGCTAGGTCAGGAAGCGGCATGGATCTGATCTGCACCAGGCCCATCAGCAGTTACGTTAGCTTCGCTGCTGTGCACATTTCATGCGGTCTTGTCTAATGCAGTCTCGGCTGCTGCTAAAGGGTCCTGCTGCTCTCAAAGCCATGGCCTCTGGCACATGACATCAGCTACATTCAGATTTAGCACTACCTCCTTCCCAGCTTTTTAACGCCAGATCTGGAATTAGAAGTCTAATATCATGTAATGAAATCAGACAGGTGCTTTGAGCAGAATGGGAATGCAAGATTTCCCTTTCAAATACTGCTCTTATGTATCAGGTGTGTTCCTGACATTCAAGATCCTATTGGTGTTTCCCAGGGTTCAGATAAGGGTATTTATCTTGGGACTGAGATAGACAAAGAGAGGAAGATGGAGAGAGCTCACTCCAGGACCTACCTGACCAAGCTAACCTGGTGTGTTGATGGCTTGATGCCATTCAACTTTCCCTTATCTGTTGCCCACAAATAAACAAACAGCTTTTATATTCCAGAAGAGAGTTTATGCCAGTACAACTGGGTGTTGGACTCAATATGCATAAGCATGCATAGTAAGGCATTATGTTTTTAGCACCGATTAGAAGCATAACACATCTGTCCAGCCAAATGTTGGTATTAGTCATTAGTTGCATTGCAATAATGCCTAAAGCCCCATGCACAAGCCAAGGCCCCGTTGCATAAGATGCTTACAAAGTAAGACAAATCCAAATCAGAAGGAAATATTCCAATTAGATTTTGAAAACAAAATGTTCCCATTAACTTGAAGGTTTTTTTTGTTTTTTTATTGAGCTTTTGCTTGTTGGTTGAGGGGTGTGTTTTGTGTTGTTTTGCTTTTTTGTTCTGTCTTGAAAATTGTCTCTCACGGGGAACTCTGAAATTCAACTTTGTGTTTTGTTCCATTTTGGAACACAACCAGAATTTGAGATATTGGGATTTTCCATGAAATGACTGATCAGTATGTGCCGACATGTGCCTCCTACAGACACGATATGCCCGTTGGTAAATTGGATCGGGTGACACTCAGACGTTGATGCTGTGAGGAGAATATAACAACATGCACGCTCTCAATCCCAGTCGCAGGCAAGTAAAAGGGTGTAAAAGCAAGGGATTTACCTCTCTACAGTTTCCTTTTCTCATTGCACTAGTGCATAGGAAATGAACTCTGTATCAGCTATGAGAGATCAAATTAACTAGGAGGGGAGGACGTAGAACTGGGGAGAACCCACACTTTTGTTTCATCTTCTCCTTCAGGGGCACAGATTTTGCTCACTTGTCCTGAACATTAACCCTGGGAAACAGGCCACACTGGCTTCCCCTATGTATTTCTGAGGAGGTCTTCAGCTGTGCATGCTTTTTTAGGTTGTTGGCTACCATCTCAGTTTGAAGTCAAGGAAATTCCACTGTCTTGTTAAGGGCTTTGGCCAGAAGAAAGATGATGCTCAGGAAAATAAATGAGAATGCTAATTTTTTTTTCCTGAACTGCTGTGGGAATTGCATTTCCACTGAGTAAGAAAGAGACTTGTCTCTTGCTCTCAGTCAGCTCTGAGACTCTAGCTGTGTGTTAATTCACACCTGACAGCTGTGCAATGAACTGCGTAAGACAAACTGGTGGGCTCAGCGCACGCATCGGCGGATGTCCAGACTACAGAAACTGCATGAATTAGTTGGGCCATCTCAGAGGAGAGGCTAAGAAATTCATGGGTTCTGGTGGATGCTAACTTAGGAGTGATCCCCCAAGGCAGGGATGGAGTATACTGCCCTGCCTTCCCTCTTTCTTCCCACCTTATTCATCCCTCGCTTTCTGTGTGCTGTCAGTGCTAGGGAGAAAAATAACAGAATCAGCCAAGGAAAAGTCAGTCTGCACTGTGCCAGAGATATGATCACAGCTTGTAAAGACATACCCTAGCTGGCTTTGAAATAGCCAGCTGGGGGACTGGTAGCAGTATGTTATGAGTTTCCTGGGCTTCAGCCATGAAGTAGTTTCCTAGAGTCCGTAGCCAGCTTGCATAGCTTGAAATCCATTTTGCTGTGGCTGGACCAGCACCAGGGGAAACTGGCTTGGGCACACCTGTGCAAGCTGCAGTCCCACTCCCGGAGTGCAGCATCTCAGGTGAACAAAGCTGTGCTTCATTCTGTTCACATTTGGGTTCGAGCCCGTGAGATGGGGAGTGCCTCTTGAGCTGCACCAAGTATCCTCATCTTCCACTGACTTCAAAGATGCAGTAAAACATGGCGCAAGGTACTTATTTACGGGACGCTCCTTCCATTCCTTCTGAAAATGTGTGTGTGTGTGTTCTGCATATGTGCACAGTTATCGGTAATAGCAAAATGTAATCTATGCGGAGGGGGTTTCTATTTAACTGGGCTGGTGAGAAATGTGTTGCTTTTACTGGTATCATGGGACAAGCACCAGTGTGGGGCAAGCACACTAGTATATTTTATTTCCCTTCACCTTCTACTTGTAAATCTGCCTCTAAAGTAGAGGCTTTATACTACTTTCAATTCACTGCTGCAGCTGCAGCTAATATTTGTGTATAGATCAGCACTACTATCTGGCTTTAGTAGCCTACAGACATGGTCTGAGAAACCTGTTTGAGAAGGAAGGGTAGCATGCGATGGCTACTTGGTTCACACAAGGAAGTACGTTCCCTTAACAGTCTTTGAGACCATTTTCCAGTCTAGCCTGTGTACTTAAAGCAGGTTGTCTAAATTCAAAACATGTATTAATTCCCTACCAAAATCAGCACTCATCCAGTACTTTCAAACACCCACACAACTTCTAACTGCCTTTGGATAGACGCAGAGTAACTTGAAAGATGTCTAGATCTCTGGATAAAGCCAGAAGTCAGAGCAGAGCGGAGCCTTTTGTTAAAATGACATTTGAACAAAGTGGTTGATTCACCAATGTTGTAAACACACCACAGAGACCACAAATGCATATGGAAACACATAACGGGTTACTGTACTGCACGCCACAAGCTGCTCACCACAGGAGCTTGCTTTGCAGCCGATGATAAGGTTCAAAGGAAATGTTGTGCCTCGTGGATCACGTTCTGCCAGTTTTTACAAATGTATGTCATAAAATTCATTGTGTACAGCATATTAAGTGATGTTAGTTTGTGGGCATGTACACAGAAGGGGTTTTGTTACCTTTCAGGGCCCGAATCCGATCGCGCTTACACTGATGTAAGCTAGCGGTGTCTGTGCTCAATTCTGACAGCTTCAAAGCTAACATGAGAAGAGAATCAGAAGGAGGTAGAGACTGGAGGATCCAGAGGTGAGTGACCTGACGATAAAGGGAGAGGAAAGCAAGCTGTCTGAGGGAAGTTATAGGAACTAGATAGGTTCAATTTGGTGAAAAGAAGATGAGGGGGGAAATAGAATAGCAGTTTTCAAATATTTGAAAGGCTGCTATAAAAGAGATGGAGAAAAATTGTTGTCCCTTGCCACAGAGAGCAGGACAAGTGGCAATGGGTTTAAACGGCAGCGTGGTGGATTTAGGTTATATCTGAGGAGAAAAGAGTCTGTCTAACTGCAACGAGCAAGACAGCAAGATACAAGCTGCCTGCAGAATTTCCTTCCTAAGAGGTTTTCAAGAAGAAGCTGAATTGGCATTTATCTGGCTTGGTTTAGGAGTAGCACATCCTGCAGGGAATGAGACTAGATGATCCTGGTGGTGCAGTCCACCCCTATGATTATATGATCCTATCAGGCAATGAAACTTAGGGCCAGGTTTTTTATCAGAACTCCCTTGGCTGGATCTTTGGGC